TTAAGATTGCTTAGTCGATAATGTTTTTATGGCACGCCATCGCGTTTACAACCGAGCTTGAACGATTTTGTTTTTAAACTCTTGTGGTAAAGTATTTTTCCCTTTAGTTCTCGATTTATAACTGCACGATTTGATGACAAGCAGAGACGGGGTTTAGGATGCGGTACCGATTTAAACATAATTTAGCCCAACTTTGTTCACCGAGTCAATATTCGCTAATGATGTAACATCAACTTAATTCTGTTTCGTATATCCGGAACAAGCTTCGGTGTGAAATCCTTTTTCTTTAGTATAGGCCTTTACCTATTGGCATTAACTTTCTTGCGAATTGCGACTGCAGACGGAATAGTTAAGTAATGCGCAAGACTTTTTAAAAATGAAATAGCTACTTTGCAGAAGGATTCTCTCACTATTCAAATCCCTAAAAATGGCGAAGTTTCCTTGCTCTATGTTTCAATGTTAAGATCATAATTTCTTGTGCACCAACTTATTCCAATTCAAGTGTTATGTCTCGTCAGGTCCTATCCTATATACGTACATCGAAAGAAGAAGAAAAAAGTCAGTAAAATAAAACCCTCAAAAATCACTTGGCATGCCTGCCACAAAGTTGTAGTACTTGTGGTACAAGCATGGAAGAATTAAAAAAAATGCATTCTTCCAGGTACAACTAGGCACCGCAACTTGTTTTTTGGGTTCAGTGGCTTTTGTATCCATCCTCCCGCTGCCCAGTGTTTGCCCAAACGGATTACAATCGCTTCACACCTCCTTGCGAATCGCGAATGGGCTAATTGCGAGTCATGTGTCGACCCCAAACAGCCCCCAAATCTGCCCATTCAAAGGCCCACCGCCGGGCCCGGAAGATGTCTGCAAATTTGCACAAACGACACTTTCAACAATGCCCGTCTCTCCCTTCTTCCCCCCTCCGTTTTCCACAAGTGTGTTTTCGCGTGAGCGGAATTAAAAGTGCCTTTTACCGCCTTTCAGAACTTTTCCCACCTTCCGAAAAAAAAGTCGGCAGGGAATTAATTGGGCTTCTTTGAATACTGAGGAACTCTTGTGGGTTCGTCTGCTTGCTCCCGGCGGTATGCTTACATAATTTTCTTTCGAGTTGGAACTGCCATAGGAATGAATATTGAAACTTTACCTTTGCTGATAATTTTTTTATATTAAACAAGAAAAAAAGCTCTGAAAATTGTTGTCCATTCACAGTGCCTACAATGTATAGGCTACAGGCCTTTGTCGAACAGCATTGTAAAGTATCATCGTTATAAATAGCTTAGTACTAAGAGATTTAGAGAACAGAATAGCCACAATTATCTTACAAAGGAATTTTGACCAAAAACGGCCATCGCAGTTCACTTTAATGGGTCTAACTGCGTAGCAGAAGAGTCATGAGATCAATCATAATACTCGTATTGATCTAGACTTGTTTCAAGTATGAAGTTTCAAGTATACGGACTTGACCACAGCGTACAATCCTGCAATGAAATTGGAATGGATATACAATCTTTACACCGAGGAAGCCGACGTTCTGCACTTTAAGTATTCCTTATTATACCGTCCTTGATGAACAATAATAAATAATTGATTCGTTGTAGGATCTTTAGACGTCGTAAACCTTGACCTTCTGATTTGTGCAAGAATTGCAGACCTGATAAGTGTCTTGAACAACGACTAGCATTCAATACAAACCACCACGCCAAATCAATGATTGACAGACGTGGTTGTTTCTGTGAGTTCGCATACTTTGCTCCGTGGTGTGAAATGTTTTTTGCCTCCTCATCAATTCCAAGGACGCATTCTGCCGCGCTCTTTTTACAACATCTTAAGTATAAAAGTCCACGTGTTTACACGAAACTAAAAACCCACTACCGAAGCTGGAGGTTTTTCACCGACCGGCGATGTATTGTTTTTGCCCCGCGCGGCGCGGCGGTGGCCGCGCTGCATCAGCGTTCTCCGCGGTGTTTTCGTTGGTATGGACCCAAGGTGAAATTCCTCACGAGGGCTTTCCCAGTGTTTACCAATATTTCTGACCGGTTCGCGTTTAGTCTGGAAGCATCTAAAAGGAGACATATTAGAGTTCAGATGAAAGTGTTTTTGTCATTCAACAAATTGCAGAAGAACAAACGGTGCAGGCCTATATCTCCAGGCTGTTGCTTGAGCTCAAAGTGGAAATATATGGCGTCCATAACATTGGTATGGGTGTGGCTGTTCAACCTCGATCCCAGTGTTTACTTTCAACCACGATACAATAGTAGACCCTGGCATTGTACCTTGCTTTTTGTATTTTGATTCGATCCCGCAATACAGTAGCCTTGACCAAGGCTATCAGCTTGTTCCCATACGAGCTTGTTCCCGCTACCGCACACCGCGCGCGCCGCGACACAATCACTAGTTGTACTATACCGTTAGCCTCAACGACCCTTGCGTGTGCTTTGTGTGCATGTACGTACGCCCCACACACACTTCCTCAAACAGCCGTACAGTATTAAGTCGAGGCGGAAGATAGCCTTGACGCAACCGTGGCGAATTCTTATGTGTTTCTTTATAGTTTCGACCGAAATCGGTCGAAAATTTCTGATGCGCATATATTACACGATATCCAATCAAAGCCCGTAAACTTTGACCCGCGACATACATATTCATGACCCGCAAATTACTGTATGCACGACGTACATGTACATGTATGTTCACTCAAACCATGGTATGTCCAGGTATTTCAATCCCATTTTAAACCATTTCTCCAGTTTTATTACAAACAAATGATATATGCCGCTATATGAGTGAACAATTGTTCAAAATGATACTATTTCCAATGTATTGCGAATTGGACAGTTCAAGACAGTCCGCCGACGTTTTGTCGGTGCAACAGCGTACATTATCACGCCGCTACCTGCCCGTGCTATTCTGTCAGCGAATGTAGGGAACAGGTCAACTCGGACCCAGGTCAAATCGTACCCATTTAATCGAATGCAGGTTAACTCGTATCTATAAGCACCCGTATGAATTAACTGCAAGAAACGAGCTATTGACTTTGGGATGGAAATATACGAAACTGTCAGGTACATGGTGAAAAAAAAACTCTCCCTGAATTCGTACCATGAGCAACATACATCTCATACGTACGACACATGTATTTTAACGTGTACGTATGAATTAATCGTATGTCGTACCATGGAGGAATATTCCTCCATGGTCGTACCTACGACATACGTACGACATGTAAGTCGTAGATGTAAATCGCACGAGATACAAGTCGTTCTCACAAGATATGTTGTGTACGACATAATCGACAAACAAGTCGAACATACGAGTTACAATTCATATTTTGTACACACGAGATATTAAGTAGTACTTATATACGACTTTGTCGTATGCGACATATATCGTACCCTGTCGACTCGACTTATGCACGACATATATGTCGTACCGGCACCTGTCGACATTATGTCATATGTTTGATATGTCATACCCTGTCGACATATATGTCGTACCCTGTCGATGATATTAGTCGTACCCTGTCGAAATATGTTGTACCCTGTCGATGATATTAGTGGTACATACGACATATAACTTATAAGTTGTTCATACAAGTTAAAATCAGTCTTACAGAATAAGTTTGCTGAAGGAGAGATATTTTTTCCCATATCCCCTTGACAGCTTAGAAGAAATACCGCCCCCCCCCCCCCAAAAAAAAGTCAGCGGTAGATATACTCAATAGTGTGAGCGCTTTTTTTTGCCGCTGAACGTGAAAGCGCAGCGTGTCTCACTGCATGGCGATGTCACGCCCCAACTATCGCATCGGTCCCAACTATAGTTGGGCCTGTCCCAACTGTAGTTCCACAGTTGGGCTGGCCCAACTATAGTTGGGCCTGTCCCAACTATAGTTGGGACAGTCCCAACTGTAAGTTCCATTGTTGGGCTGGCCCATCTATAGTTGGGCCACTCCGATCTTTTTATTTTGCGGTGTCCCAACTATCAGTGACTATAGTTTACATTGATGTACAACCATAAAACGTTCCCTACAGCTCTGATACACGTCTGACTTTACTGGGGACCACTGAAATTAGCTATTGATGGGGCGAATCTATAGTTGGGCCACCCCAATCTTTTTATTTTGCGGTCCCAACTATAGTGTACATTGTTGTACGATTATAAAACATTTCCTACAACTCTAATACATCTGACTTTACTGGGGACCAATGAAATGATCTATGGGTGGGGACCATCTGTAGTTGGGCCACCGCAATATTTTTATTTGACAGTCCCAACTATAGTTTACATTGTTGTACGATTATAAAACATTCCCTACAACTCTAATACATCTGACTTTACTGGGGACCAATGAAATGATCTATGGGTGGGGACCATCTGTAGTCGGGCCACCGCAATATTTTTATTTGGCAGTCCCAACTATAGTTTACATTGATGTACGACTATAAAACATTCTCTACAGCTCTGCTTATTACATGTCCGACTTGAGACCTTTGACATTAGCTATGGTAGGGGCCCATCTATAGTTGGCCGGCCATGGCAATCTTTGAATTTTGCAAAATGTTGCTGGATAATTTAAAAATTAAACGAATGAAATGAAGTTTAATTAGAATTCTACCGATTAAATCACCGACACTGAAGGACTTACATGAGATTACACTTTCCACCGGAGGATTAGTCACGGTTGAGAGATTTTGAATAGACTCTCTTCCCTATAAAGGGCCACCACGCCCTGCACGCCTCAATACATTTTTATGAAAATGCCCGGTGCATATAAAAGGGGTGGGGAATGCATGATAGCAGTACATATACCAATTGTGGAGGGTGTAAGTCCTTCAGTGTCGGTGATTTAATCGGTAGAATTCTAATTAAACTTCATTTCATTCGTTTAATTTTTAAATTCTACCTCATAATCACCTCCACTTCGGACTTACATGAGAAATTTAGAGCCCATGCATGCAACGGGCAAACAAACGACAAAAAAGAGTCGTACAATAAACAATTCATTTCTGATGTTTCTGTATATTTATTCAGAGAACAAACATTCGAAGCCTATTTTGCTTCACAACTCAAAACAGCGTCAGCAAACTTCTGACTTGCTGGTACAATAGTTTTATTATAAAACTTAGCAAAAGTACTACTCCTTGCCCATTGGGCAGTAGTCATTATGACATCCAGGGGAACTCCCCTTTGCAAAGCTGCACTACATGCAGCCGATCTAGTACTATGAGCCTTGAATCTACCTATGTCAATACCTGCATCTTGCAGTGTCATCTTGATCCAACGAGAAATTGTCTCGGACCCTACACGCTTGTGAGGGGAAGTATAACTCAAAAACAAACTCCTTTCGCGTCCTCGGAAAGTTCTAGTTTTAATCAGATACTCTCTAAGTGTTTTCATAACACATAGGTGTTCATCGTGCGGGTACTCTGACACCACCACACTTATTGGCTTACTGCCAACTCTACTGGTCTTTGTTAACTTAGTAACAACAAAAGTCACATTGCTTCGAGTGACATTGACCTGATCTAAATCAAGCAAAGATAATGTTTGACACCTTTGTCCTGAAATCAATGCAATCAACATAACAAGTTTCATTGTAAGCCTTTTTAAAGGCAACTTTTCTCCAGGACCTAATTCTTTTAGGTACTTGAAAACAATATTTACGTCCCAAGTAAAATTATATCTTGGCATAGCAGGTCTCAAATTAAACACACCTGTCATGAATCTTTTAACCAATGGATGTGACCCAATAGGACTCACATCTATCGGAGCTACGATTGCCGATATGGCACTACGTAGGGTATTCACTGAGCTATAACTGTTACCCTTATGAAATTCTTCAGTTAGGCAATCAAGAACAACTGTTACAGGTGCTCGAACGGGATTAATTTGTCCCCGAGCACAGAATAAAATCCACTTTTGGATCGCTGATCTGTAAGATTTCTTGGTTGCAGGTCGCCAAGAGGCGATGATAATGTCGGCAGCGTCTTGTGAAATTCCCTGACGTTGCAGGTTTTCCCAGACAAATGGCATGCCATCAGTTGTAGCCGCTCTTGCCACGGATGGAGTCTGCCTGAGGAAGGAAGCGAAAGTATATCAGCCCTTTTAGGCAAAATAACTGGCTTGTTTGTGAGTAGTTTCAACATTTTTGGAAACCACACTTGTGTTTGCCATCGTGGGGCAATGAGTATGGCGATTGATTCATCGAATTCAATTTTCGCCAAGACTTTCCCAATTAGACAGAATGGGGGAAATGCATACACTTTGTAGTAAGACCAGTCCAGTGTAAATGCATCATAACTGAATGCACCCGGATCAGGTTGCCATGATACATATGGCTGAATTTGATAATTCAATCTTGACGCGAACATGTCAATGTCAGGCACCATGAATTTCGCAATAATTTTGCGGAAAACGTCTGGGTGTAGTTTCCATTCTATATCTTCGTGGAAATTGCGTGAGGCAAAGTCTGCCATCACATTATCAACCCCAGGCAAATACGATACAGATAGCCATATCTTTCTGGCCATGCACCATAACCAAATTTCCCTCGCAAGTTCATTTAACTGAGGGGAATGTGTGCCACCAAAATACTGAATATACGAAACAACTGTTGTGTTGTCCGTTTTTAGGTGAACATGGATGTCCCTGTGTTTATTGAAAAGGGACTGCAAAGCAAAAAAGCATGCCTTGAGCTCAAGATAATTGATATGGAAATCAATCTCTGTGGCAGACCATTGTCCGCCTAATACCTGACCATTGCATTGAGCACCCCAACCACTTTTGGATGCATCACATTCAACAAAGAAATTTGGGTTATTTCTGTGAATGGGGCATTTGCATACTGTAAATTAGCATGCCACCAACTTAAATCTGTCTTGGCTCTGTCAGATAAAGACATTCTTGCATCAAAATTGTTGGCATTAAGAGATAAAGCCTCATTCTTATCCACTTCAATGGATCTTCTGAATAAAGCACCGTATGGCACGGCTATCTCGCAAGACACCAAAAGCCCTATCACTTGTGCAACGTCCCGTATTTTTGGGCGTGGCATCGTGATCAAATTATCAATGGCTGTATCGATTTTCCGTACTTTAAGGACAGGAATCGCAATGGTCATGTTGACAGAATTCAGAATAAACCCAAGAAACTGAATGGTCTGTGTGGGTTCTAGAATCGATTTCTGAGCATTGATAATAAACCCTAGCTCTTTAGTAAGGGTCAGACGAGCTTTAACATTAGTTCTACACTCGTGAATGGTTGAACCTAGCAACAATGAATCGTCAATGTAATCACATGACTCATGGCCTCTCTGTCTTAAGGAGGCAATCAGAGGTTTCATGATCTTTGTGAAAACTCTAGGGGCACATGCTAAGCCAAATGGCAAACAGGTGAATTCGAACAATTTGTTCTGCCATTGAAATCGCAAATACTTGCGATGTTCTTTTGCAATGGGCACGGCAAAATATGCATCTTTCAGGTCGATTGATGCCATAAAGCACTGAGGCCGTATAAGTTGCAGTGCAAACTGAATGGTCTCCATTTTGAAATGGTAATAGGCCACTGATTTGTTCAATTCTCGAAGATTGATAATCGGCCGAAAGGATCCGTCCTTCTTTGGACGAACAAAAATTGTAGAAATAAACTCCCCAGCCATGTGGGTAACTTGCCTAATTGCTCCTTTTTGAAGAAGCTTAATTATTTCTGCCGAAATAATGTCAGTCTCATTTTGAGAAACGGCATTTGTTTCTGCTGATACAACTGGACAGGTTGTTTGGCAAATTCTATAAAGTAATGCTGTACTGCCTCTAAGACCCATTTGTCCGAGGTTACAGTTCGCCATTTGGCTACATAGTAGGCTAATCTACCTGCAATTTTGGTACATGTATTTTCAATGCAATGACTCACCAGTTTTTTGCTTGGCAAATCTACTTTTTGGCTCCTGCTGATGGCTGCGGTTTGTGATTCCACCGAGATCCCTGGTGCTTGCTGTAACGCTGATAGTTTAAATAGCTACCGCGTCTTCTGCCGGCACTAGCCAAGTTCCCTCTGTGTAGGGAACCCTTGTTGTCGGTCCCCCGCGATCCAGTAGAGAATCCAACTTTCTGTCCAATTTTGTTCGTTTGTTGGATGTCTTTACATTGTTGCGGTAAATTGTCCCCAAACAGGAGCCCAGTTACTGGAACATGTGATGAACACAGCCAGAAAACTGTTTGTTTAAGTCAGGCTTTATTAACTCACGTCTTCTCATATTGAGCTCGTGGTTGGCATGCCCGATCACTGCTATCGCGTCAAGCAGTTTGGTGATTTCACCCTTAACATCTAGATTATCAGTACCTGCAGCTGACCCATTTAGCCGCCTCATGAGCGAATTTATTACGCCCACAATAGGCACCACTCCTTTCATGAGTGCTTGCTGCACTTTTTGCAGCTTTATGTCTTGTGACCGAGTTTTCGGCTTCAAAGAGCTCCAGACCTCTGGATTGACTCGTGTACATTCCAGATGTTTTACATTGGTTGGTCGTTGGAGGGCCTTAAGCTTTTCAGCAGCCTTATCTTCTGGTAGCTTGTTACGCACCATTTTATCAATGACCTTAGCCAATTTTTCATTGACTGCAGCAGCAGTCGGGGCATCCTCTGTGTATAGCTGTTCGAAATTGTTTTACAGCTGGTCGTCCTGGCCTGTAGTTTCTGAATCGAGAACTGATTCTTTGAGCAGTTCATCTATGGCCTTTGAGGCACTTGTATTATCAGAGTCAGACTCCGACGCTAGGCGCGGCCGCTTTGCGGCAGGTGGACTGAGGATGGCCGTTTGAATATTTTCAATAGCTTCTGCCATTACGGCTAGCTTTTCCGTTACGTCGACAAATTCTTGTCGAGAAACGGTCTTAGTTTTACGGGTCTTTTCTTTCGGTTTGACCGAAAAAACATGTTGGTTCCCGCCCGTAACCTGCTGGGTGTTCAAGTCGTCGACTGTGTCCGACGGTCCAGCCATTAATTCTAAGAAATCTGTTTCTTGTGTGCTATCCATTGGGATGCCTTAACAGACTGAAAATACACTGTATAACTGTAATACACTGTGTGACTCGCTCCGGCACAGAAAAATGTATTGAGGCGTGCAGGGCGTGGTGGCCCTTTATAGGGAAGAGAGTCTATTCAAAATCTCTCAACCGTGACTAATCCTCCGGTGGAAAGTGTAATCTCATGTAAGTCCGAAGTGGAGGTGATTATGAGGTAGAATAAAACCCAGCAGCTGGACAACTCATCCAAGTAGGCAGTACCATGTACCACGTGACCGGCCAGCCTTGCGGCATGCATGCACGACGGTGCCAGCGCCGCGGAACATTTAATCCAACAAGATCTATCAAGCATGAAGCATCCGGCGCAACTCCAGTCCTAACTATAGTTGGGCCGACCCAACTGCCGCACTATAGTTGGGACAGTCCCAACTATAGTTGGGACCGATGCGATAGTTGGGGCGTGACAGCGCTAGCCGGGCCGGTGCCTACAGTGGACGGCCCCAACGTGGCCTCTGTGCATGGTGACATCGTTTTTGCCGACGTGCAGTTTTGTACCGTTTGCCGTTTTTTGAAGGTCTAATTTTTCATCCTTTTCATTTCATTTTCGACCCAAACTATGTGTAACTTTACAAATATTATTCTACTATTATTTAAGATTTTAAGGGGGTGTTTTACAATAATTATTGTTACCACAGGCCGTCTGGTTTATAAACCTTTGGTCGTATTATGCAATTTAATAAATATTCATTTTTTTGTCAGCCGTTATCCAATGAGAGAAGACTATTTACCATAGCGCGTACTAATTATCATATTCAGCCTACACGGTTGCGTCAAGGCTATCTTCCGCCTCGACTTACTGTACGGCTGTTTGCGGAAGTGAGTGTGGGGCGTACGTACATGCACACAAAGCACACGCAAGGGTCGTTGGGGCTAACGGTATAGTACAACATGCATTGTGTTGCTGCGCGCGCGGTGTGCGGTAGCGGGAACAAGCTCATAATGGGAACAAGCTGATAGCCTTGGTCAAGGCTAGCAATACAGTGGCGGATCTGGGGTCCCGGGTCAGGGTGCCCCCCCCCCCTTCAGCCGCTGACTAACAGTTATTAGTTAGTTACGCCTACACTCAAATCACCCCCCATTATAAGTAATGGATTTTGGCCAATATCTCGTACTTTTGAAGACGGCCCGCCCCTTTCTGTCGGCCTTCAACCACGCTGTCCATGGAGCTATAGCTCTAGGGGCCTTATAATATTCACGAGTTGGCCATTTTTGTTGAGTTCCTTGAATGCACTTCATTAAGTGTTAACTGTTAAGTGGGATGGCGCCAGACTATTTATGCAGGCACAATGCAGCCTTAATTTACTGGGTTTTTTCAATCTGGTTTTTATTAGGGAATTTTTAATAACGAATTAATTAGAAATTAACTTGCTTTCATTTCTCTTCTCAAGTTCCACTAAATTAAGATTTTACCTCACTTCAATTCAATATGGCCGACTCGTGAATAAGGCCTATGCTGCACCTCTGGGAAACAACAATTAAATGAATTTCCAGCAGCAGATTAATCCGTTTCGAAACCTTTAGAAGAATAGGGAGAAGAAGCGGGATGGGAATTCCAATTTCTATGGATTTACTGCATGCACGCATATCAATGACACAACACATGAGCCACCGGCGGCTGGAAATACGACTAGCAAACAATCGTTTGGCTAAGTGACAGCATTTTTAGAAAGTTACCGCCTCCCAGCAAAATAGAGCAATGCAAATCATTATGTTCTACTGAAACTAACTTGAAGAAGATCTTTTCAACCTTGAAGCAAACATACTCAACTGAAAGATGGCCTGTCCATTTTATCTGGTCTCTCGATCCTAATTCTCGGATGGGTCGTCTCTGCCTTTTATCTTGTCAGTCTGACGGCGAGGGCCACCCTTATTTACGGTCGAAGATGATACAATAAGGGGTCATTAGAAGATCATGTTTTATCACATGCCACATTCCACGCATGCATACAATTTGGTAGCGTGAGAAAGTTCTACCTAAACGGCGGAATACAAGGTTAAACTCGTGATAAAACGCACGGATGTAAAAATGCACCCGAGCATACGTTCTGGACAGGCGTGATCACCAATAGCCCTAATAGTCCTGAATCCTCCAATTTCAATATGATTTTGCACACCCCCTAGGGAGTTAGGGTTAATTCATGGTGTGGTGTGGCCCTCTTTAATGACGATAACATTTGTCCCGGCTATTGTCCGAACAATAGCTAGCATGTACGGATAGCTCTATACATCAGTATATAAGCAACCACAAAATATCGCGGTGGAACTTGAAATATGAAGAGGGCCCAAAATTGGAAGTTATTTCAAAATCGATGTTTGGCCAAATCTGTCATTGTCAGAGAATAACGCATCTTTAAGTTAGTACGTCTTCCCTCCTGGAGACAGTTTTAACAAAAACGTCACGTGACATGTATATCTTCTTTAAAAAAAATTATTCCATTTCTTGTCAACCGTTGCACAGTTTCCCAAACGCACAATATGGAAGCTGACTGGATACCTTTGACAAGAGCGCGCCAAACCACGTGCATGCTCAGTTGATACTGTGATAAAAAAATGTGAAGTCGCACAACTGCGCGTGCGTACGTATATTATGCTCTTGTTCTACATTTGCATATTCTGATCGTACACACGTATTCACAATATGTAATGTCTTCTTGGATTTATGTAAATTGGTTTAGTAATGCAAATGAGACATTTTGTTCCCTTCGTTAACGGGTTGCATGTTTAAAAATTTTTGAACAGATCCATTATAAGAAATAGTCCATCTGGATTCGATAAGATGACTTAAAACTAAACAGTCCCATGAGCCACACTTCGCGAGGGCACTTCGTCACGTCAGTAAAACAACAGGTGATTTATGTCCCCTATCGTCTGCTTTTTTTTCGCGCCTTTTTTCCCCTCCCACCTCTCGCCGAAAAAAAGCCCTTAGCAAAGCACTCAACGACACGCTGCGCAGAGGCGGGAATTCACGGCCAGCACAGACCCCACGCGCCCCGGCTCTATCGACGCCTTGGCAGCGCGTGATCTCACGGGTATAATCACGGTTACCAACCCAGTTGATGTTTGCCTACCGCATTAGAGCCTAATCAAAAATAACCGCCGCTCGTCACAAATATTTACCATGGAAATTGACGGTCGTCATAATCACAAGGCAGCTCCGTGCCGAACATGAAGCAACACTCGTTAGGGGTTGCTTCTACCAAGGGAACTGTTGTTTTGCTAGCTGAGGAAATGTACACATCGGGGGGGAGCTTTAAATTGGGGAGTTTGAGTGTTTTTATGTTATTTTCTTGTTTTTCCACCACATTTAGGGGTTTTATTAAATCATGAGACTGTGTAAATATATTTGTTTTTGCAGCGGGTCTCCTGTTGGCGATGTCAAAAAATTCATGGTGCAAGATGTGAGTCCATACCTGTGTTCCTTCAGAAAATGTTCGGTTCAACCGAAATTGGATTTCTCAAAATAAACTTGTCTCGAAGCAGGCAGTTGTCGGAGAGACAGACCATTAGTCAGAAATGCTGGGTACTTAGCTCATTTCTTTACTAACACTGTAACAAAATAATTACATATATTTGAAGCACAAAAATACAGTAGATTCTGCTGTTTTCAGATTGTTTCTGAATGACAGATAAAATTGTCTAATTCCTATTTTACATTCAGGCGACCTACAGCTGTCCAATTGTCTGTTTAATCACGCCAAACAGGGGCCGATTTAGGAATTTTTTTAGGGGGTCAGGCCCGTCAGATTTTTTGATGTCCGATTGTTGCGGACAGGCGGACATAATTATAGGTAATTATTATAATACTATAATTGTTATAAGTTTTTGTGTCAGAGCGGGGGGGGGGGGAAGTTTTCGACCCCCTCCCGGAACCCCCCCCCCTCTCTTGATCCGCCTGCCACTGGATCTCCTCTTAATAATAGAGTGTTTGTGATGGCACAAGTAGCATTTTCCTTCCAAACAAGACAAGTTTTTCTTCTCTGTTATACACAGTAAAGCTGTTGTATCGTATCAACTCCCCCTTTTGTACCAAAATAATAATAAGTCAGTTATTCTCTGTTGCAAAACAGAAGGAACTCCTGTTTGGTGTACACGGAAACAGTGAGCAGCACTGTGCC